GGCAGTTTGCTGGTTGCTGGCTGGTTGGGGGAAAGCTTGTTCTTGAGTGTAATATTGGTTTGGTGAGTGCCCTTCAGCTCTGCGGTGCCTGGTGGCTGTGCCTGTTGTAAATGTAACTGATGATCACAGATATTGTCCTTCAGGATGGGGTAAAGCTGCTGCTTAAGAATTGAGCTGTGTCAACAGTTTCTTGCAGCTGGAGCTTTGGTGTATCCAGCCTGTCCAGCCAGGTGGAGATTTCCTGCCTGAGGAAGCCTTCTCAAGAGATGTTAATAAGCCCATGGGGCACTTTGGACTTCTTGTGGAACCTTCCAGAGACTGTGCTGTTTGCGGGTGGGGGCGGGGGGGTTCTCAGTTGCTAAGTCTAGACTGGCATCAGGTAGATAAAACTCTTGACGAACATTCAGGGTCTTCAATTTCAGAGGACTTGAAGGAAAAGAGGATTGTGCTGAACTTGTTAGAACTGTTACAAGTCTCAGAAGAAACTCTGAGACCAGTCTCTGGGGTGACATGTTTATATCTTTGTCACCTTTTTCAAAACACCTGCAGGCTCTGGGCCAAGCTGGGGATCCTGTGACCCTGGAGCAAGAGCAGGGAGTGCCTGAGAGTAGTCAGGGACCCTTCCTCCAAATCTTGCAGCGGAAGTCTCAAAATTAAAGCAGCCATCATGGACTAGGCAGAAAATGACACTGAATTCTTTGTCAGAAGCACAGTTCTACATGACTGAGCTTCCTAATTGAGAACCCCATTTGTTGAATTATTTAAATCCATATCACTGATTTTCATAATCCATCTCTTAGAATCATAGAATGTTAAAATGAGATGGAAGAAAACTTAGAAATGGTCATAATCCAGCCTTTTCATTTTATACTCAAGGAAACAAAACCCAGAGAGGTTGTGAGTTGAGTAAGGGCACACACAGCTGTGTAGGGTCCAGTTGGGAAGGGCCTGAGTCTGACCTGTGGTCATTCACTACATAGTTCTTGTGTTCCTTTTGTGAACTCAGCTTCTTGTTGTCTGTAGTCCATGTGGGTACAGCCGAGGTCATGGGTTAGAAGCTGGATGGTTTTGATGGAATAATAAATATACCGATGCTCAGTGCTTTAAAAAGAAACAAAACTATACATATACATATATATTATATATACTTTTTTTGAGTCAGGGTCTCACTTTGTCACCCAGGCTGGAGTGCAGTGGCACGATTACAGCTCCCTGCAACTTTTCCTCCTGGGTTCATGGCCTCCTTCTGACTCAGCCTCTTGAGTAGCTGGAACTACAGACATGTACCACCACACTGGCTAATTTTTTTTTTCTTGTAGAGATGATGTCTTGCTATATTGCCCAGACTATTCTCAAATTCCTGGGTGCAAGCAGTCAGTCCTCCCACCTTGGCCTCCCAAAGTGCTGGGATTACAGGTGTGAGCCACTGCTCCTGGCATAATTATATTTTAAAATACTTCTTCTTGTTCATGTGTCATGTAGATATCTGGAAAATTCCAATAGGATATTTTGACTGTGAGATATTGCAGCTGTTTTTTTGGAATAGCTAAAATTGTTCATGTCATGTATGTATATGATTGAGTCATTGTACAAGTCATACTGCTAACTGGTTATTTTTTCTGGATAGCTTTGGTGAGATTAGTTTGTTTTCCAAGCAAGGGGCTTGTTTCAGTTGATTGACTTTGATGCCCTTTTTTCTATTTTTTTATTTTAAAGATGTGGAGTACAATTCAGGGTGAGGTATACAAATGGTCATTGTACGGGTAAAGTTTGGGCCTCACTTTGGTCCCCACTTCACCTGGTTTGAAATTAGGTACTCTTATTGTTGAAGTGTGCCCCTTCCTTTCTCCCCTGGCAATTTCCCACTACTGCTAATCCCTTTCTTTTAGTTTTATAATAATTGTTCAGGTTCTGTTTATGAGTGAGAGCATGTGGTACTCAGGTCTTTGTTTCTGTGGTAGAGCACTGAGTACTATAGACTCTAAATTCATCCAAGTTGCTGTGAAGTTCATAATAGTGTCCTTCCTTATGGATGCCCTTTCTTTTGTAACTTACTTTCTTTAAATACCATGCCGTTATTACTTTACCCCTAAAGTATTGAAATGTTAGGTGCTAGAGGTATGGTGCTCTGCACATAATAAACATTCTCTAGCTATTGGTTAAAAGAATGAATTCTATCCCGTCCAGATGAATCTGAATATTAATTTCTTTTGATTTTTACTCCTTGGGTAGGGAGAAAAAATTTTGTATTTTAGGGAGAATATTAAGCCATGTAATTTTTTTTTCTCTTTAGCTTGAATGGAGCCCTAAACAAAAAATTCACATGCACACCAAAAGGCTGGGAGAGGTTTCGTAAATTGAATATGGGGTTATTGTTTGTGTCCACAAAACAAAGCCCTAAATCACAGTTAGCATAATTTGTGGTTTTAAATTGGACTGATTTAGCAAGGAGAGTGAAATAATCTCTCATCCTGTCAAAAAGGCGATACCTTTAGACCGGCATTTAATTGCATTGGCAGAGTAACTTTGGGAAGGCGGCAGTAATTCTAGCTGCATTATTCTTGGTTTGTGGCTAAATTGAGATCATCATTTTCTCCTGGTTTCACTAACTTTCTTTATTGCTTTTCAAACTAATCAGACGAATGCACTCTTCACACTAATCTGAGAAAGGCTTAGCAGTAGCTGGAAGGTGGACAGGGAAGAGTGAGATCTCTTGGCAACAGCCTTTCACGTACTTTATTATCTGGGGAAGGGACAGGGGAAGACGACACCCAGCAACTCAGAAGGCACGGTCTGGTTATTTTCTTGGTGATCATTTACACAAAGCAAATACCATTTATTTGCACGGAAGCGTGCAATTGATTATGCACCTAAAAATGTGCTTTTGTAGGCCAGGCTCGGTGGCTCAACCTGTAATCCCAGCACTTTGGGAGTCCGAGGCAAGTGGATTCCCTGAGCCCACGGGTTCAAGACCAGCCCAGGCAACTTGGCGAGACTTCATCTCTATAATAAATACAAATTAGTTGGATGTGGTAGCACGCGCCTGTGGTTCCAGCTACTTAGGAGGCCTGGGCGATGGAGTGAGACTCCAACTCAAAAGAGAAAAAAATGTGCTTTTGCAGCCACACAGTATGGCAAGGTTCAAGTGCATTCATACTGGTATTTGAGTGCATGTTCTGGCAGGATTCCTAGCTGTTTAGATTATCCCATGAAAATCTGTCCTTTTATCTCCAGCCACTTCTGGAGCTAATCCAGGGCCCAAGGGTCTTTGTCCAGAATGACATGTATTCGTCACAGTCCCTTCTTCCCATGAAAGCTTTTCTCTTGCCTTTTACCAAGTCTTCTTTTCCCTCTAAAAGAAATCTGATCCGTGTTGCCTTATACATTCCAGAAAGTTGAAAATGGTGACTCAAAACTAGAGTAAACAGTATGTCTGTCCTCTTTACTTTTGGTCCCCTGAGAACTGTCCACTGGGGCTCTTGGAAGGGCTAACTCCTTGAATATTTTAGGTGTGTGTTTAGAATTTCACAAATACCCTTCGTAGTGGTTCTAAACACAGGTGTTCCTGAGTCTGAGTTTAGGCCTGACCCCAGGCAGGAAGGTTGGTTTTCCCAGTTTTCTGGGACATCTGTGGAGGGAGCAGGTGGGAAGGAAGTAAACCTTACAGACTGGAGACAGCACACTTTCTTGTCCTAGATGGAAGACCGTATCCATGTTTTTTGTTACCTGGATAGTCTTGGTATTAGAGTTTACGTGAGTCATGGATAAGCTCATCACCCGTATAGATGTTTGTAGAAAGATCAAATAGCGGCCGGGCTTGGTGACTCAGCCTGTAATCCCAGCACTTTGGGAGGCCGAGGTGGGTGGATTGTCTAAGCCCGCGGGTTCGAGACCAGCCCAGGCAACTTGGCGAAACCTTGTCTCTACAATAAATCAAAAATTAGCTGGGCATGGTAGCACATGCCTGTAGTTCCAGCTACTTGGAAGGCTGAGGCGGAAGGATTGCTGGAGCCCAGCAGGTCGACGCTGGGGTGGCCGTGAGTGTGCCATGACACTCCAGCCTGAGCCATGGAGTGAGACTCCAATTCAAAAAAAAAAAAAAGATCAAATAGCAAAAGGGATAGATGAATCACAATCTATTGCAAATCCTTCTGATGCCAATTTACAGCTTGTGCTTTTGAGGTAAAGATGCCTTTGGCTTTTAACGTTGTATTTTCAGGTATGTATATTCCAGGGAAGGAGGTACCTTTCAGGCCCTCAGTGGTTTGTTTTCATTATTTTCACCTTTGATCTGCATACTAGTATTCATAGCATGCTACTGAGTTGACTTTTTGCCTTTCTATATAATAACAGTATATCGATCTTTTGCTAATCTGATGTAACCTGTGCGCGCGCACGTGTGTGTGTGTGTGTGTGTGTGTGTGTGGTTGTGTATCAAGGTGTGTTACTTCAGAGGTCAAAATCAGAAACTATACAGGCTGAATAGTTTGTCATTTGAGACTGAGCTTAGGTTGTGGTGATTTAGTGCATTACTAAAAAGGCAGCTCTTTAGGTAATGGATTATTTAAACAGGTTAAACATACCATCCCTCAGGAGGGGATTGGGATTGCTCTTTCTTCCGGTGGAGAAACAAGGAAACCAAAAGGAAGAAAACAGTTGCACTTACTAGACATTATATGACAACGATAAGCATATATGCTTTACAGCATTCACTTTTATAGACTGGTTATGGTCGCAAAATCCTTGCCTGCTCTGTTTTACTTCTTGCTTCTCTCTTCCTCATCCATGTGAAGCAGACTATGCCAAGCATTTATCTGATTGTTCAAGAAGCATTTCCTTATGAAAGCCCTTCAAAAAACAAATAAGACCTGTATGTGAATTAGATGGTCCTCATGGAGTTACATTTTTCTTTCTTGTAAAAGAAAAACAAAATATGTTGTTGGCATTCCTCCCTAAGAGTGGGGCTTCTAGATTCACTCTCAGCATTTTCGTTTCCATAGCAGTGCCACCAAACATAGCGGAACTGAAGAACTTGGAAGTTCTCAACTTTTTTAATAACCAGATTGAGGAGCTGCCCACACAGATCAGCAGCCTTCAGAAGCTCAAACACCTGAACCTGGGGTGAGTCTTGGTGGAGGGGAAGGAGTGGAAGGCGGGAGTGGAAGAGGAGTATCGGCTGTTAGCAGCAGAGGGATTCCATTTCTCTTACCGCACACCAGCGGATTTCTCATTTCTTTTTATATTTTAGGTTTTAACAAAAACTTTATTGTTTCAATATAGCCTTTCAATGGCCTACATTAGTGAATATGTATTTGGGAGCTAATTGAGAAGGTAATTGTTGACGCAATAAGGGAGTTTTCTTGTTTTTTGTTTGACTGTGTTTTGTTTCCAGTAAAAATTTTATTTCAGTTCTGTTGATCAAGAAGGAGCTTATTTGCATGGCATTGACTGTTCAGACAAGTTGTAATATGATCGATTTTTATCTCTGTATTAAACAAATAGTTTACAAAGCACCTTCATTAATTCTTGCAGTTCTTCTCTGTAGCCGAGACATTCTCATCCCATGTCTTTATGCAAAGGTGAAGAGAGGAGTTTGGATCCAGCTGAGGTTGCAGAACAAGGCGCAGTGAATAATAATAATATCTTGTCTTTGTATATCGCTTTGCAGTTTTCAGAGTCCTCACTCAGCATTTGATCCTCCCAATATCTGTGAGGTGGAGAGGGCAGGCTTTCGTGTTTTCCTTCCCTAGGGATGAAGCCATGCCCTTTCCAAGGGGTTAACTGATATGCTCTTGATTACCCCTGAGCTTAGTGGCCAAGCTGGGGAGGGAACCCCGCTGATCTGGGCTCGGGCAGTCTTCGTTGGACTCCATAGATGCCAACGGGAACTTTGGCTTTTGAATTCCATCTTATTGTCATAGCTGTTAAATGAAACTACCCACTCATGCTTCAGTCTCCGTGTGAAGTAATATGGTCATTAAATTATAGCCATTAAATGCTCTAGTTAAGTTAGTGATTTACATGGAGTGGTAATATAAGCTGGCCAGGTATTTATCAATTTAATAGGAAGTAATCATGACAAAATATCTCATTCATGGAGTGATGTTTTGGTTCATTCTTTCCACAGGGAATTTGGTCAGACACTCTTATTTTGAACTTCACTCTGACTGAGTAATCATCTTTGTAGATACATGAGCATTCTTTTTTCTAATGTCTGAGGGAAGTGGAGTTTAAAGGAGTGAGAAACACCACTTTAGATGAGATGACTTTTTTTTCTCCCTACAAATTTGGAGACTGTATATTCATCTGGCAAAGCAGTAAAGAAAGGATTCTACATTTATATCTTAGTTTTGAAGATAACCAGGTGCTAATATTTAGTTTGTAAGAAAGAAGCTAAAACTAGATATATGTGTATATTCTTTCTGTTAATTTGTTCATTTATTAACTGAGTTATATATGGATATATTTATGTATGTATCTATCTTTATATATCTCAATCACTAGGAATAGTGCCTGTTTCACAGCAAGCGGTTCATAGTGTTAGCTATTATTATCATCATCGTTTTTATTTACTTTGTGACTATGAAAGTACCTATTTGTTGAGGATCAAAGGTGAAGGCCACAGTCCCTGGTCCTAAGTATGGGGACAGGGCTGGCTGCAAATGAGCAGGAACAGTCCAGCGGGGTCACTGATGTGCTGGGAGGAGAAAGACAGGAACACCTTAGGCTACAGGTAAGATTTTTCAAAAGGGCACACACAGGGGATAGTATGGGAGCCAAGTCTTGATGCATGAGGAAGAATTTCTCCCACTTACAAGTCTAAGGAAGACATCTCAGATTGAGGAATGACATATTTAAAAGCTCAGAGCACTGTGTATTTTGGAAATTGTAAGGTTTTGGGTGTTGTTGAGTGTGAAGCATGAGGCAGGGAGCAGTAAGGTAAGAGGCTAGGCTAGATAGGGAAGCATGTGTGTCTGCTGTTCATTGAATGAGAATTTACCGAGTTCCCAACTGTGTACCAGGCACTGTTCTGGATGCTGTCCCTCTAGCCGTTATGGACCTTGAATTACAGTTGGAGAAACCAACAATAAACAGATGAATGTTTATATTAATGGCAGGGAGTCAAAAGTGCTGATGACAGACCTTCTGTGCTAAATAAACAAGCTCCAATTTCATCCTATTGATCATTGAGGAATTTGTAGAGCAGTGGGTATGCGATAAAGTCAGATCGTGTGTGTGTGTGTGTGTGTGTGTGTGTGTGTGTGTGTGTGTGTGTATAAAGATATATATATATATTTTTTTTTTTTGTAGAGAGAGGGTCTTGCTATGTTGCCTAGGTTGGTCTCGAATTCCTGGGCTCAAGCAGTCCTCCCTTCTCTGCCTCCCAAAGTGCTAGGATTACAGACATGAGCCACTGTGCCCAGCCAGATTTTCTTATAAAAGATCAATGTGGAGTAGGGGATGCAGGGAAGTAGACTAGAGGTCAGGAACCAATAAGAACATTAACTTAGTGTTCTAGGGGAACTAGGACATAGTGGAGGCAGAAATATATAAGAAGGTAACATTGAACAGACAGTCACTGATGTGGTGGAATGAAACCTAGGTTTCTATGCTGGGCAGCTGAAATAGAAATATAGAGGGAGACGGGTTTGGGAAGAAGATAATGAGCTCAGGTTTTGTTCAGTTTGGTTTGAGGTACCTTAGGACAGAGTTGTAAACTTTTCATTTTCATCGAATGCACTTTGTTGCCTTCTTGTTCTCTTTGGAGTTGTTTGCATTTTTGGCTCTTGGTGCTTTATTGATTGTGTAAAGCTTTCTGTATTTAATTACATAGCTACATAGATGGGGTTGTCAAAGTTAGAACAGAATTCTTAGTTCTTTGGGAAATGAGTTCAGATAAGTTTTAATAAAGGATCCTTCCATCCTCAAATGGCATAAAGAATTACACACACACGGGAAGGCAAGTTATAGGGAGAACTTCTTAGAATAAGCAGCCAGTATGAAATACACACACGGGAGATCATAAATCAGAGATGTGAGGCCACATGGATGCATGATCCAAAAGGCACCCTCAGCCAGAATTTGCTTTTAAAGTTTTATGTAGTATTTATCTGTTTATTCTGGTGATTTCAAGACCTGAAGGAATTTTAGGACACCTGAATAAATACAAGAAAGTTTAGGCTGGGCACGATGTCTCACACCTGTAATCCCAGCACTCTGGGAGGCTGAGTTGGAAGGATTGCTTGAGCCTAGGAGTTCAAGATAAGTCTGGGCAACATACGAAGACCTCATCTCTACAAAAAAAAATCAAAAAAATTAGCTGGGCATGGTGGTACATGCCTATAGTCCCAGCTACTTGGGGGAATAAGGTGGGAAGATCGCCTGAACCCAGGAGATCAAGGCTGAGATGATCTGTGATTGTGCCACTATATTCCAGCCTGGGTGACAGAGTGAAAACATGGCTCAAAAAAAAAAACAACAAAACAAAAGTTTAGTTGTGTTCGTAATTCTTTAACTATGGCTTATCTTATAGAGTTATTCTCCAAAATGCATAAGGCCACATGGATTTCCATACTGGTAATTATTATTTCTAGAATTATTTTACTGCAGGAGTACCATGCCCAACTATTTTGGAATAACTTTTGTTTTAGACCTGGGACCTTGCTCTGTTTCAGACTGAAGTGCAGTGGCACAATTATAGCTCACTGCAATCTCGCACTCTTAGGCTCAAGCAATCTTTCTGCCTCAGCCTCCCAAGTAGCTGGGACTATAAGCACCACCATGCCTGGCTGGTAATAACTTTTGACCTAGTTTGTTGCTAGAGCTCGTCTCGTGAACACATAGAAGTTTTCATTAAGTGCAGTACTGAGTATTTATGGGTTTGGAATTGTTATTATTAATGACATTATTATTTGGCTAAGAGGGTGAGAAGGTCACTGTGGAGGTGAGAAAAACTAGTGCCTTTTGCCAATGTTTCATTGAAGTAGGAAGTTCCCAGGATCTGCACAGAACAAAATGCTCTAAGACGGAGGCATGAGTACAGATCCTCTGTGGCTTTTGGAGAAAAGGAAAAAAGATGCCTTAGACGCTCTAGTTTTGTAAATCTCTCCATCATTTGCCCATTTCCAACAGCATTTGAAAAATCTTCACATGCAAACAAAATAATTGATACCATTTGATATAGTTGAGCCCAGAGTAACTTGAAGTGTCAATGCCTGAAGTGATCTGAGGTTAAGCAAGCATAAGAATAGAAAAACCACACGTACTAGTTTGGACTCTCCAGAGCTTTCTCATTAGGTAAGCCTGCCTGCTTGGGGTTGATTCAAAATTTCTCTCAAGACTTTTGAAAAATAGTTGTAACTGTAGCTCTCATTTCCTGAGAACCCACCTGTGAGCCATGGAAGGCATTAGGTGCTTCCTCTCTCATCTTCCTGGTGACTCTGCCCTGAAGGTGTTGTTAAGGGCATTTTGCAGTTAAGGAGCTTGGGTCTTAAAGAAGCTGAGTAACTTGACCAAGGTCACCCAGCTGGCAAGTGCTGGCACTGGACTGCTCACCAACTGCCTCAGGTGTTAAAGTTCCATTCTTTCACTGTCTCCACTGTAACGTCTCATGGAAACCTTGAACACTCTTGCTGTTAGAGGTGGGCCCTGAGCACAGAAGTCCCACATGTGGAAATGTAGGTGAATGGGGATGGATCTTAGCACCTGCTGTCTGAGGGGACAGCACATTCCAGCCTTCATTTCAAAGAGAATTATGCCACTGGGTCACTGTGCACGTGGGCTGGTGACCAGAGAGACTGACAGCAGTCTCTACGTTTCTTTACCTTTGTAGCTGGGACTTTTTACTAGGGGTTCTTCTGGACTTTCTGAAACGTTTGCTTAAGCAAGGGCTTCCTTTCTGCCTGCCAAGTTACTGGGCCTAGTAGTGATACTTACTGCTGACAGCTGCACATGGAACGCGGCTGTGTTCCTCCCAGGCTGTGGGTATTGGTTTATCACTCGAAGGAACAAAGAACCTGCAATTACGGAGATTCTTGCCACCGGGAGGCGGAGGGGGTTCAGGCTTGCTCTAGGCTAGAGACTGAATGGGAGCCCTCCCTTAGGTGAGATGCTTCTTCCTTCTAAGGCTGTCTGACTGTGGACTTCCTGCACCTGATATTGCAAAAGTGTATTTGGAGAAAACTTGGAGTAATCAGCAGTTTATAAAAAATGAATGACTTGAAGCAGTATGTAAAGACAGAAGCACCTAAGATATGCTTTTTACGATCTCTGAGTTTCTTTCTTTTTTTCTTAGTTTTAAAAAATTTATTACAGCATTAATTATAGTTGTTATAACAGAAAATACAGAGAAGACTATTATAAAATTAATCACTCGAGGCTCAACAACTAGCAGTAACCACTAGCTTTTTCTGTGCCCACATGTACAGACCCATATGCGGCTCTAACCATGGTATCATGCCAACAATTTATGTTGAAGTCCAAGAGTCAAGTGTGACTTTTTGGTCTCTATAAGGTACTAGGCACATGCAGACACCAGTAGCCTTCATCAGTCGAGTCAGAAGTCTTTGGTTCTTTAATCTCTTAGGCGGATTTTTCATGTCAACATAGAAATAATTATAAGCTCTGTTTTGCCTTATTAAGAGGTGAAGTCCTTGACATGCATATGCTTCACCAGTTGTGAATGTGTATAAAATATTAGTAGTTGTTACCACTGCAGTTAAGTAGTCTTGGAGGCCATTTTGCTGAATGTAAAGTCTGTCTGCAGCGTTTTCTACCTGAGAGGTGGAAACCCACTTTGCTCTTTTGGTTTCCCCTTCTTGTAAGGTATTTTTTGTGAGGCTTGCTTGGTAGGGCTGGACAGAGTTGTGTCTGTAAGGAGACGGATCGAGGACTGGAATGATTTTTAGCATCACACCTTCTTCTACTTTTGAATATCTGTCAACTTAAAGTTTTTTAAAAACTTGGCTTTTAAATATGCTCCAATGGAATTTCATTAAGAAAAAAAGGGTCTTGAAGAAAAGGATAAAATATAGCAATAGGAAAAAAATTTCCCTGGAGATAATATATACATAGTTGAGCAAGATGTAGGTTAGGGGCACTGACCACTCACTCAAAAATCCATATATAGCTTTTGATTTTCCAAAAACTTGGTGACTAATAGCTTACTGTTGACTGGAAGCCTACCAATAACATAGTCAATTAACACACATTTTGTATTTTATACACACACACACACACACACACACACACACACACACGTATACACACACAGAGAGAGAGACACACATATACACACATATATAAAATAGCATATTTTTACAATAAAGTAAACTAGAGAAAAGAAAATGTTAGTCAGAAAATCATAAGGGCTGGGTGTGGTGGCTCACACCTGAAATACCAGCAGTTTGGAAAGTTGGGGAAGGAGGATCATTTGGGGCCAGGAGCTCCAGGCCAGCCTGGCAACATAGCGAGATGACCTCCTTCTCCCTCCATACCCTACCTCTCTACAAAAAAAAAAAAAAAAAATTGACCAGGCAGGGCGGCTCGTGCCTATAATTCAAGATACTCAGGAGGCTGAGGTAGGAGGATCACTTGAGCCCAGGAGCTTAAGGCTGCGGTGAGCTATGATCATGCCACTGCACTCCTGCCTGTGCAACAGAGTGAGACCTTATTTACAAAAAGAAAGAGAGAGAAAGAGAAAGCGAGAGAGAGAGAGAAAATAATAAGGAAAAGAAAATACATTTACTGTTATTTAAGGGGAAGTGGCTCATCATAAAAGACTTTATTCTTGTCTTCACCTTGTAGGCTGAGGAAGAGGAAGGGTTAGTCTTGCTGTCTCGGGGGTGGGAGAGAGTGGTGTGAAGTATATTCACATTGTTGTACAACCAATCCCCAGAATTTTCCCATCTTGCAAACCTGAAATTCTGGACCCGTTAAACAACTCCCCATTTCTCTTCCTCCAGCTCCTGGAAACCACTATAATTCTTTAAATGTTAGTAGGACAAAAAAGTGATTTCCCCCCTCCATTAAAAGAGGTAAATGAAAGGAAATAAAGCAAATGTCTGACATCTGTAAAGCTTAGTATGTGTATTTTGAGATATTATCACTACTTTTGTAAGAAGTTTTTCTCTACAAAGACAGATATTTTGTGAGAGTGTATGATTCGGTATAAATCAGTGATTTGAACTTCACCATTGGAGAAAATGACAACTAAGACATTTTTAAATGTTTCATGAACATATAGGCTCTCTGACTCAAATGATTAGGCTAAAACAAATACCACATCCTGTCGCTTATATGTGAAATGTATAAAAGTAAGACTCCTAGAAACAAAGAGTGGAATAAATGGTGGTTACCAGAGTCTGGTGGTGAGGGGCACTGGAGAGATGTTAGTCAAAGAGCACAAATTGCCATTAGACAGGAAGAGTAAGCTCATGAGAGCCATTGTACATCATGGTGACTGCAGTTCATGACAATATATGGTCTATTTGAAAATTGCTAGGAGAGTAAATTTTAAGTGTTCTTACCACACACACACAAATTAAGTATGTGAGGTAATGCATATGTTAAATAACTCAATTTAAGCCACTTTACAGTGTACTGTACATATATCAAACCATCACATTGTATATCATAAATATGTACAATTTTTATTTGTTGATTTAAGTAAATAGATAAAAATTTTTTAAATGAAAAAACATGATGACATAAAGTGACTGAGATCATGGCACTCTCTGATGCTTTCAGCCTGTGAAACAGAGATGAACTGTGTACATTTCGTGTACTGAGTTGTATTTTTCTCCCCCGACAACAGCATGAATCGGCTGAACACTTTGCCTCGAGGGTTTGGCTCCCTGCCAGCACTAGAGGTTCTGGACTTGACTTACAACAACTTGAATGAGAATTCTCTTCCTGGAAACTTCTTCTACCTGAGTAAGAAACTTTTAATTCTATAAATCTCCTCAGCATGCTACCTTGCATTCTAAGTGTAAAATTTATTTGCCAGTGCCCAAACTCCAAGACTCCAAGAGAAATTATTGGACATATATATATTTTTTTCTTTATGGACTCCTTTTGAATATTCCTTCATAGCTCAGCGGTATGTATATTTGATATATAGTTATATGACACCATTGGGCTGAAGTGGACTTAGTAATGTCATATTAATATTCTGAGAGAGATTATGTACCTAGATGAGATCAAGCCTCACATTTAGCTAAGAGACTTTTTTTCTTTTCTTTTCTTTTGAGTTGGCATCTTACTCTGTCACCCAGGCTGGAGTGCAGTGGCACGCTGCTCATAGCCACCCCAGCCTCGACCTGCTAGGCTCAGGTGATCCTTTGACCTCAGCCTTCCAAGTAGCTGGAACTACAGACATGCACTACCACACCCGGCTTATTTTTTGATTTATTGTGGAGACAAGGTCTCACCAAGTTGCCCTAGCTGGTCTCGAACCCTGAGCTCAGGCAGTCCTCTCGCCTCGGCCTCCCAAAATGCTGAGATTACAGGCTTGAGCCACTGTGCCCATCCTGACTTCCTTTTTTTTTTTTTTTTTTTTTTTTTTTTTGAGTTGGAGTCTCACTCTGTCGCCCAGACTGGAGTGCAGTGGCTGCTCCCGGCCACCGCAGCATCGACCTGCTGGGCTCCGGCGATCCTTCTACCTCAGCCTTCCAAGTAGCTGGAACTACAGGCGCGCACTACCACGCCCAGCTAATTTTTTGATTTATTGTAGAGATGAGGTCTCACCAAGTTGCCCAGGCGGGTCTCGAACCCACAGGCTCAGGCAATCCACTCACCTTTCTTTTTAAAGAACATGCCCCCCAAAAAGTGTCCTCCCATGTTACTATTAATTTTGTTTAAGATATTTGCCCACGTTATTCTAATCAATTATTTATAAAAATATTTATTCATAAACCACTAACAGAATTTTTTAAAGTTCCCACCAGGATTCTGGTTTTAAGCCTTTTAAGAGGTGTACCACATGTTGTCACTCCTAAGCAGACCTTGAACAATTATCATAATACTATAAGAAAGAGATTGACAGTAGTGGGAAACTTCCAGGGGAGGGGGGCACACCTCATCAGCAAGGGTATCTTCATAATGAACGTTTGTATACCTAACCCTGAATTGTACCCTACATCTTTAAAATTTTAAAAAAAGGTACTCTTATTTACATATCTGTCTAATACATAGTCACACATTAAGAAATTGTTAGCCACGGTGAACACATTTTCCTCTTTTAGATGCAAACAATTTTTTTGCAGGTGCTCCTAAAAATAGGAAAAAAACTGATTTTCTGGCATGAAATATCTAGGAAAAGGTTGCTTCCTTTAAATAAGTATGAGGGAAGAACCACAAAAAAGCCCAGAATTATCTTTTTGGAGGGAAGACCTCTTGTAATACAGGCTAGGTATGTGTTCTAGGAACTTACTCCACTAGGTCAGTGTTCTAGGAACCCATTGGCATCGTTGTACCTGCTAGCATCATATCATTGTACCTGCTAGCATTGTTGTGAGGGGTTGCATTTGGCTTCAGTGAATTTTCTTTTTTGAGAGTATTTTAATATGTTTACCCATTTCATGATGGGTGATTTACGAGTGTGCCTGCCCACACCACACTGAGTGTTCTGCAGTTTTCGGCCCAAACTGGCATGACTCCCTTGCCCTATCCTTCCTATTTATCTGATCTTGCTCTGAGGGACTTTTTGTTTCCCTGGGTGAAAAAAATCCTCAAAGGGAAATGTTTTGCCAAGGTAGAAGATGTGAAACAAAAAACAGCAGAAGTACTAAAAGGCATCCATATTGGTGAGTTCAAAAAACTGTTTGGAGCAGTGGAAAAAGCATCTCAATAGGTTTATCACATCACATGGAGAGTACTTTGAAGGTGACTGAAGTTTAAACATGTAAGAATAAATATGGATTGCCTGAGCCCGCGGGCTCGAAACCCGCCTGGGCAGCGAGACCTCATCTCTACAATAAATCAAAAAATCAGCCGGGCATGGTAGCACATGCCTGTAATTCCGGCTACTCGGAAGGCTGAGGCAGAAGGATCGCTGGAGCCCAGCAGGTCGAGGCTGCGGTGGCCGGGAGCCACTGCACTCCAGTCTGGGTGACAGGGTGAGACTCCAACTCAAAAAATAAAAATTAAAAAATAAAAAATAAAAATAAAGAATAAATACACAATTTTTTATAAATAAATTTCGTTTTTGGAGGGATCCCTCCTCATATTTTGCTTCTTCAAATAGTGACATATATGGCATTAGAGAATGAGCTAGGCTCTAAAATTTTATTTTTTGCCTTATGTATGCTGTTTCTCCTAGACTTTCTCAAGCACATGAAACCAACTATAAAATATTCTCTTGGGATGTGGAAGAAATTGTTTTTGTTATGTTAACATACAGTTCTTTGAAATGTTAAAGCATTAGAGTATAGTTAAGTACCTGTAGATGAAGGAAACCAAACAAATATCTAATTATACGCCCCCTTTTTTGGTTGAGAATAAAAAGAGGTTTTAGAATTTTAGCCTTCAGTAGCTTGGGATCGTGTTCATTATTGTGTAATATTGTGAACTAGTTTCTGGTTACTGATATGCTGCTTAAGTTAAGATTTTACTCTTTTAATTCCATGTCATTATATTAGCCCCTTTGTACTCATTTATTTTTGTCATTAAGGTTGTAGAAACAAGTAATAATAATTAGTCTGATGATGGAACCAATGAACTGTTGTTATGGCCTCCACTGCTGGAAAACCTTTCATTTATTTTTAAGATCACCCTATTTATATGAGAGAAGTTCTATTTTGACATAATTCTATTTACATGAAAGATCCCTTTTGCTCTAGGTATGGATATAAGTGGCACAGTGGTTTTCTTTGTTTTGCTTTGGATGCAGATGGAGTAATAAACATGAATTGGAAGTAATAGAGAAAAATAGCTATGCTTTCTGAAAAGGCATTGAACCTCTGTGCCCAAAACTGCTGGTGCCCACGATTGTTAATTGTGACAGTCCTCTTGGATATAGATATTTTCCTGGTCACACCAGTCACACAATAAGCCAGTAAATCTAAGTTTGACCTGCTTGTTATTATTGGGAGCCCTAGGTATGTCAAAGGCTTTTCACCAAGCCAGGGTTATTAATCAAAGCTGACTCCCTCGTATTGATCAGACCTCAAATGGTTGGGTTCCATGCCACCCTGTTTATATATTGCTGTTTAATTTGCAGCCACCCTGCGTGCACTCTATCTAAGTGACAACGATTTTGAAATCCTGCCGCCAGATATTGGGAAGCTCACAAAGTTGCAGATAGTAAGTAATTTATCTAAATTCTTAGAAAATCAATTCACTGCTGCAGTTCTTGTAGGAGTAGAATCAAGTCAATTTGAGCAGGAGTGAGGTTTGTTTTGCAAGAATAAACCACTACTCCTGATAGTGTTTCTTGTTTATCCACAGACACTTGTAAATAAATGGAAAGGATTGAGCCTTAGCAGAAGAGAGGAGATGGAAGAGAGTTTCTGTGGAGCACCTTTTCATGTGAAATTGCTTTGACAGGTTCTTGTTTTCTTATATTTAGCTCAGCCTTAGGGATAACGACCTGATCTCGCTGCCTAAGGAAATCGGGGAGCTCACCCAGCTTAAGGAACTCCATATTCAGGGGAACCGCCTGACCGTCCTGCCCCCAGAACTAGGTAAGGCTGCTGACGAATGAACTCAGATCTGGGTTTAATTAATAGCGATTATCCTAAGGTAGCAACCTTTCTCCTCTTCATGGCAAATACCCTCCACCTCGGCACCCAACTCTGATCATTTTAGGACCATTTGTCATTGGCCAGAGTTTGGCTGTTATTCTAGGTTTGACTTTTCCTGATGCTGTTGGTATCCTGTGTCTCAGAAACTGCTGACGAAAGATGACCCGGCTCGGCTTCCTGCATGGTATAGTGGAAGGAGCATGAGATTAGTAGCAATAGCCTTATCCATGGCTTCTCATTTACTAGCTGCGTAAGCTCTCTGGGTCTTGTTGAGTTATTAATAACTTTTATCAAGTATTACTCTTATGTTTTCTTAATTCCTTAATTTTTTGGCCCTTAAAAACTTTTACCAAATAGCTGAAGTATTTGTTATGGCTACTTGAAAATACCCTTACCCATCATGACTGTGGTCATCTCCTGATTCCGTCTCTAGTAAGAGTCATTCAATGTGTTTTTGCTGGGAATTTCACAGTCCTACTCCTGGCAGCTGAATCACAGTTCTCTGCCTGGTCGATTTGATGACCCAGGGTTGCTCATGGTCTTCCCTAGAAATAACCTCCAAACCAGTCATTCTTTTTCTGTTTTGCCTTTCAACAAAGGGCTCATGCATTTACTGATTTTTTTCTCATGTCAGCTCTCCGTATCCTCAAATTTTTTCAGTTCTTTGAACTGCATTGTTTTATCATACTGCAGTGATTTGCTTTCTCTTCAAAACACCATAATGCTTAAGGAAGCACATTGAAGAAACAGTTCCTCAGACAAGTCTTGTGGTTTTTAAAGAGGCCACTTTTAAATTAGTACATAAGCACCATGAAGGCAGGGGTGTTTTTATATTGGTTCCCTGGCATGTGGTGGGTGCTCAGAGAACAGTTATGAATGAATTCATGGAGCCAAGGTGGTCAGGGTGTTTAGAAGGTTAAAAGCAGGCAGAGTGTGACTTGTGGTTAATGTACATATAGGAAAACTCAGATACAGAACATTCCTGTCAGTGCAGAGTGTTCTATTGGGCAGCCCTAGGCTAAAGGGAAAGCAGTCATGTGATTTCACAGAAGGAGCATAACACTGAGCCTCCACTTTTCCCATTTCCTTTATCTCCTTTGTTGGTGTTAAAAGGCCAGAGGAGTTTATTTTATGAGTTTTTTGTTAAGGGCTGAGGAGCTTCTCAGCAGCTTCTCTTTATTGAGATATAGGTAGTCAAGTGTAGCTTGAGGAGCAGGGTACAGGCTCAATTTTTTGCAAAAATTTTCAAGGCAAAAACCACGTCAAAGGAGAGATTTTGTACAGTGACTGTTAACCATAGATGTTAGCATTAGTAATACTTGGGAGCTTTTGCAGAGTACTAATACCAGCTCCCTTTCCAACCTCCTAAATCAAAATCTCCATGCCTGGCTGGGTATGATGACTCACACCTCTAATCCAGCACTTTGGGAGGTCAAGGCAGGAGGATCACTTGAGGCCTGGAGAATTCAAGACAGGAGTTAGAGACTTGTCTCTACCAAAAGAAAAGAAAAAATTAGCTCCATGTGGTAACATGTGTCTGTAGTTTGAGCTACTCGGGAGGCTAAGGCAGGAGGATTGCTTGAGCCCAGGAGTTTGAGGCCACGGTGAGCTATAATGGTACCACTGCACTTCAGCCTGCATGGCAGAGTGAGACTCTGTCTATGAAAAAAAAAACTCCATGCGTGAGATGAATTCTTGTGTAGTTTGATAAAACCCACTTAATGTTTCTAACATGTGACCTTGGTTAGTGTGGTTAGTAGAAACAGAAAAATAAATCTGTATTTTGTTGTTGTTTTATTTCATTTTTCAAGCAATGAGGCCATGTAAGATACTAGAGGAAACGATTATCAGATAGTAATTTGTTACAAAAATACCTACCTTAACCTATGCATGCCTATATATATATATATATATATATATATTTTTTTTTTTTTTTTTTTTTTTTTTTTTTACAATCTTACTTATGTTGCTGTCCTATTTAAATACCACTTATTGGCCAGGCTTGGTGACTCAGCCTATCATCCCAGCACTTTGGGAGGCCGAGGCAAGTGGATTGCCTGAGCCCGCGGCTTTGAGACCAGCCCGGGCAACTTGGTGAGACCTCATGTCTACAATAAATAAAAAAAATAACCGGGCATGGTAGCACGCACCTGTAGTTCCGGTTACTTGGAAGACTGCGGCAGTAGGATCACTGGAACCCAGCGGGTTGATGCTGGGGTGGCCATGAACATGTCACTGCACTCCAGCCCGGGTGACAGAGTGAGACTCAGACTCAAAAAAAAGAAAGATTGCATGTAGTCATATTTGTCTGACATTTCTGTTAAGATCTCCAGTAACAAATTATATATATATTATTCAGGAGCAGAACTGAGGAGAAAAGTTTTAAATGACTACTTTTGCTAGCCATAGAAAAGCTTGGTCTTAACGTCTGCCTGGTGGCAGGGTTTCCTAATTGCAGGCAAACACTTAGTTGGAAATAAATGATAAACCCTTGGGGTTTATCGGTCACAAATCTCAACTCGAGCTGAAGACAAATGTTTTATCTGTTTTTGAAGGGTGATTTCTTTAAGTTAAGAATGATAGATAGCAATATAGTAATAGCTACATTACTATATATAGTATGTATTAAGGCCTCAAGTGCCAAGCCACTATAATAAGTGTTTTTCTTGCATTATCACCTATAATTGTTGTAAGAATTAAAAGCAAACTTTTCAGAGGTGGGAAAACTGAGGCTAAGAGATTGGTGGACTGGTGGCATGTCTATGGGGACACAGCCAGTGAATCACAGAGGAGAGATTTGAACCTGACAGTCTCTCCCGCAGGTCCACATTCCTGACATCTGTGGTCTTCCCATTCCCACTGGTGTGCCGCTAAGAGGATTCCTAGAAATCCTAGAAAACACAACTCCAGCCAGAAATGGCAGCAGGAGGAGGGAGGATGCTGGGTGGTCAGTTGCATGGCGGGCTCTGCCAGTGTGTGAGCAAGGCTAGAATGACACTTTGCAAAATGCAGCCAAGATGGCTCTTGGAACTGCTCTTCTGCTGTGCCATTGCAAGCCAGATAAACTGTCTCTGTGGTTCTTTCACCACATAAACATGTACCACAATGGGAATATCTTGTCTGTCTGTGTCCTCGATACCTAAGGCTGATGCATGAGCAGAGCTAGGGACGATGCACTCGTGGCTTATTATACGTGTCCCTGCAGCATCTGCTGACTGCAGGCTGACTTTTGGGTGCATTTTAAAGTGTGGATGGTGAGCTCTCTCCCCTCTATGTTTATTTCGTATATATCTGAATCACAAGGTAAATGTTTTTGAAGTTTCTGTAAAATTTGCTTTCAGAACCCAGAGTTTATTAACTTGAAACCTTGTTGGTGACTGTGTTTCAGCCAAGCAAGGGAACTTAGATGAGTTCTGACTTGTCAGATCTAAGAACTCTAGGAACATGACAAAATAAAATCAGAGGCTTGTTTGGAGTTTTGATACATAATTGTATTACTTTCCTGTTACTATATATTCTTGAATAAGTTACTGAAATCATTACATCTGGTTCCCAAACAGTAAAACACTTGCTTTCATATTAGTCCATATAATTCTAGAAAATGAGATGTAAGTTGGTCTGTCATTCACCCATTCATTCATTCATTCATTCATTCACACATTTATTAGTTCCTACTTTAGGCCAGGTCTTAAGTCCAAAGTATTTATTCTTCCAATAAAGTGAAATTTACTTATTCAGCAACTGTGTATTGAACTCCTGCTTCATGTACTTATAGGGATTATGACAAGAGACAAAATATTCCTTATGGAGTTAATGGTTTAGTGGGAGAGGATGGAAAATTAGGTAGGTAGGTAGGTTGGTAGGTAGGTAGATATAGCATGATACATGGTTTCACTCTGGAAAACAATTAAGCATGGCAGAGAGGGGTGATCAGAGGGAGCCTCATTCCTAATGGAGGGAGGGAGCGCTCTTGGCAAAGGGGACAGCAGGTGCAGAGGCCCTGGGGTGGGCTTGTGTGTTCAGGAACAGCAGAAGACTAATGTAGCTGGAACAGAGGGAGCAAAGGGGAGAGTTGTAAGAAATGAGCTTAGCTGAGAAGTGGGGACTTGTTCACAGAGGTGCTTGTGGGGCATTGTCAGAATGTTGGCTTTTATTCTGAGTGAGTTGGGCCACCCATACCTGCTCCCATCTTAGTCACCAGAGCATATGCATTTGTCACCTTAAGTGGGAAAGGAACTTGGCTGATGTGATATAGGGTCTTGAGATGGGGAGATTACCCTGGATTATTCATGAGCACAGTGTAATCACAGGGTCCTCACAGGGGGTGGGAAGAGGGTCAGAGGTAGTAGTCCAGGATGTGGTGATGGAGCAAGAGGCAGGGGTCCCGCGTGGACAGGCCATGAGCTGAGGATACAGGTCGTCTCCAGAAGCCGCAAAGTGCAAAGAAATGGATTTTCCCCAAAGCCACCAGAAGGAGCACAGGCCTGTTGGCACCTTGATTTCAGCTCTATACGATCCAGTTTCAGATTTGTGAACTCAAGACTTCGAGAATAGATCTCTGTTGTTTTAAGCCACTGACTGTGGTCACCCTTCATGGCAGCAGTAGGAAACTGACACAAATGGGAGGACACTGAAAGGTTTTGATGTTTTTTTTAAAGACAGGGTCTTGCTCTGTTGCTCAGGCTGGAGTCAGTGGCATCATCATAGCTCACTGCAGCCTCAAACTCCTGGGCTCAAGCAATCCTCCCTTCTTAGCCTCCTGAGTAGCTGGAACTACAGGTGAGTGCCACCATGCCTGGCTAAGTTTTTATTATTATTATGGTAGAAATGGAGTCTTACTATGTTGCCTACGCTGGTCTCAAACTTCTGGCCTCAAGCAATCCTCTTGTCTCAGCCTCCCAAAGCACTGGGATTACAGGTGTGAACCACTGTGCCTGGCC